CGCCTGTGTTTAAGCCTAAACCTGCTCCAAACCTGCTCCATAGACGCCTGTGTTTAAGCCTAAACCTGCTCCAGGACTCTGCTCTGACATAGACGCCTGTGTTTAAGCCTAAACCTGCTCCAGGACTCTGCTCTGAGTAGATGACTGCACTGCCTGTTGTCTAGTACAGTTTGTCTACAAACTGAGAACGGTACTGTAATTAGTCACAATAAGTAGAACTGTGACTAAAGTACCAGTGTGTGATCTGAGTAAATATTTACACTGCCTACTGGTTAGAAATTCGGCAAATTGTTGACAACGCAATTATGATAGAACTACTCATAGGCCCTTTAGTCCATCCAAAACAGAACTGCAAAATTTCAGCATAGTTTGTCAACTCGGGATGTAAAGAAGACTAGGGACTAGTCAGTTGGCTTACATGCCTCGGGAAGATGGCATTTCGTTTTAGTTGAACATAGTGGAAGCTTTTGGTTTTGCAGGTTTACACAGGCATTGCTTATAACGACTAGACCACTTTCACTATCTATTGCACCTCCACAGAGAGAGAAGTGCTTTCAAACACCAAGGATGTCAATACTAGTAAATATTGTTCTACCTTTAAGAGCGTTTTTAAAATTCCTATGATATAACGTTGAAAAAATATTACGAAACCTATTTCTTCATAGCATCAATATGTTACCATTAAACATAACAAAGGAACTTGTCCAAACCTTAATCTAATTTATTACCTGGATGAACTGGCCCTCAAGGAAATGTTAATGGCAAACTTAAACGTAAAAACAATGAAAGACTGTTGTTTTAATTATTTGTGATAATGTTTGGTCTTTATCCTTATTTATATATTAAGGTTGATTATGTAAGAGAATAATTTGACAATGATTTCTCCCGGAGAAGTTTAGCTTAATAAGCACTCCCTTGCTTGACGCCATATTGTTTTTTGCCGTAAAGAGGTGGATGCGAGATAGCACGCGAGAGGACAGTTATACATTCACAGAGATATATAGATGTTTATTGCTGGGAGACACACTCAGAACTCCATGATCCATACTTCCTTGTGTTTGGGAATAAATGGTGTTGGAAGACCTCCCACAATAGACTTGTTCTTTGACCTGTGAACCTAAGTGTTTTCTGAAGAGTGTAAAGAGAATATTCCCGAGAGACACCATTACGTCAGGAGAGAGAAGAGACACTTGGTCAGTGACAAGAACAGAGAATGGCTCAAAGTAAAGAGACAGAGGCAGAGATTCATGTTCATGAAGAGGTTGCAGATGGAGCTTCCACAGAGGGAAAGACTGATGTTAAAGACACTAAGCTACAGAAAGGCAAGGATTCAGAGAAACCAGAGGAAACAAGAATTCAGTATGTAAAGACAAGGAGAAAGTTCCTGAGAGGCAAGATAACACGAGCCATAAGGATAACAGAGAAGATGGCTACAGGTGAATTGGTGAATAGATTAGCAGACAAGGAGCTGTCAGACATTAGAAAGAATGTTGATGGAGCATTAGAGTTAAACAGTGAGCTGTATGAAGAAGGAATTGATGAGAAGAAGATGGACAAACGGGAGTCAGATCTCCTGAGAGACCTTCATACTGTAGAGATCAGAGTAGAGGATCACTTCTGTGATAAGCAAGTACAAGTGAAGAAGAAGAATACAGGGATTAGTCCAAGAGTCAAGGGAAATCCCCTGAAGTATATTCAATTTATTGAGGCCTTTAGAATTCACATCCATGACAAAGAGAACTTGACAGATGACTTGAGAATGGTCCAGTTAAAGATGGTATTAGAGGGTGATGCGAAGATCTGTGAGTGGATTAGGTTCAGCAGGAGTAATGTATGCAACTGCAATTAAGACAATTAAAAGTTTGTATGGACAGAGAAGTGTGATTAGCTCATAAGGGGTGAGAAAATCAGAAACAACGATCGTCAGTTGTTGAGAGAATTCTCCATAGATATCATCATCACACTTGCCACACTGAGAAGAATTGATTTCATGTCAGATATCAATGCTACAGAGACACTGAGGCAAATAATCAAGAGGCTACCAGATTTCTTGATACTAAAATGGAAATCCAAGGCTGCAGAGTTAAGAGAGAAAGGAAAGACCCCAGACTTGAAGAGTATCAGCAACGTCATCAATGGAGCAGTGAAAGCTGAGTTTGACCCTGACTTTGGGGACATAGAGAGACAGGGAAGAGAAAGACATGATAGCACCCACTTCAAGAGAAATGAGAGAAAGAATGTGAGCTCAGCACAGAACAGAAGTTTCCAGTGTTGCATTTGTGGTGAGAATCACAAGGTTCCAAGTTGCCAGAAATTCCTAGACTCATCCGTCAGTGAGAGGCTTAATCTCATAAGAGACAACAAACTTTGTTATTCATGTTTGAACAAAGGGCACATCACTAAAGACTGTAGGCTAAAGAAAATGTGTGGAAAGAATGAGTGTACAAGGACACATTATGTGCTAATCCACATGGAGCCACAGAGAGCAAGTGGAGCATCATCTATTCTTGATCAGAACGGTATCATGTCAGTCGTGAGAGTTAAGTTTAGATCGGCTAATGGCAGAGTGAGGGAGGGAAATGTTCTGATAGATGGGGGAGCTGGGACGACCATCATTAGGAAAGACTTTGCCAATATGCTTGGACTTCAGGGCAAGAGAGAGGGACTTGAGATACAGTAGTTGGTGGACAGAGACATCAGAGTAAGGACAGCAGAAGAGTACAGTTTTGGATATCACCCTTGAATGGTGGAGAGGAGTTTGCCGTTGAGGCTCATGAGTTGGACACAACAGTACTGAGTGTACCATCACTTGACAGAGAATGGCTATCATCATTCACACATTTGGAAGACATTTCATTTCCTCACAAAACAGGACCTATAGATCTAATTCTCGGCGTGCAATACAGCCAATTGCACGCTGAAAAGGAGGTTAGAGAGGGCATTCCATATGAGCCAGTTGGGAAGAAAACAAGATTGGGATGGTGTGTTATTGGGGCAGACACACTTCCTGCAGACAGTATCCAAGTTAACTTTTGTCACAAAATAGAGGATCCAGATATAGAGAGACTCTACAATATGGAGATTATCGGAGTTAGAGCACCAAGCTGTGAGTGTCCGACAGACACCATGTCACAGAATAGAGGATCCAGATATAGAGAGACTGTACAATATGGAGACTATCGGAGTTAGAGCACCAAGCTGTGAGTGTCCGACAGACACTATGTCACAAAATAGAGGATCCAGATATAGAGAGACTGTACAATATGGAGACTATCGGAGTTAGAGCACCAAGCTGTGAGTGTCCGACAGACACCATGTCACAATATAGAGGATCCAGATATAGAGAGACTGTACAATATGGAGACTATCGGAGTTAGAGCACCAAGCTGTGAGTGTCCGACAGACACCATGTCACAATATAGAGGATCCAGATATAGAGAGACTGTACAATATGGAGACTATCGGAGTTAGAGCACCAAGCTGTGAGTGTCCGACAGACACCATGTCACAATATAGAGGATCCAGATATAGAGAGACTGTACAATATGGAGACTATCGGAGTTAGAGCACCAAGCTGTGAGTGTCCGACAGACACCATGTCACAATATAGAGGATCCAGATATAGAGAGACTGTACAATATGGAGACTATCGGAGTTAGAGCACCAAGCTGTGAGTGTCCGACAGACACTATGTTACAAAAGGAGAGTACAGCATTGCGGTTGATGGAGTCATCATGTTGTAAAGGAGGTGAGCGTGACAATATGGGACTACCATGGATGAAGGACAGGTCAGAGTTACCGGATAACTGCATTCAAGCAGAGAGATGCCTATTCTCATTGGAGAGAAGCTTATCAACTGATCCAAGGAAAGCGGAACTTTACAGAGAGACTATGAGAAGCTACATAGAGAATGACTGGGCAGAGGAGGTTATTCATGACACTAGAGATGTTACAGTTTACTACCTGCCACATGACGGAGTGTACCGAGTGGACAAACCAAGCAAGCCACTGAGAGTGGTGTTTGATCAAGCCTGTTCCTTTGAAGGACAAACACTCAATTCATATTTCTACAAGGGACCATCATTACTTGGTGATTTGTTTGCCATTCCACTTAGATTTAGGGAGAAGCCAGTTGGGTAGGAGGAAGCGTGAAACATTCACCACTAAGCTTCGACCAGACTTATCCAGTGTTACTCCCAGGATCAAACCACATATCCAAACTCATTTTGAGAGAAGTTCATGACAGTGTGTTCCATGCAGGAGTTGAAAGAACACTCTCTGAGAGTAGAAGAAAACATTGGATTATTCAGGGAAGGAATGCTGTGAAATATATCATTGGCAAGTGTACAGTGTGTCGAAGAATGCGACAATGAGCTCATTCCACATTGATGTCGTTCTGAACGCTGACGGCCCTTAACGTCATTACAACTGATAGTCGATGACAACCAGCCATCATCTCTCGCAGTAGCCCAGCATTCCGCATACCAATAACTTCCATCTTTCAAAAAAGGAATTGGTCAAAATGAAAAAAAGTTGACAACAGTTTGTGTTGTTTTTGCAAAGATGTAAATGAGAGTGTGTGTCATGTGTACTGGGAATGTCAGGAGACTCAAACCTTTTGGATAAACCTACAAATTTGGATTAACAATTTTTATCCACATCCATTGAAACTATCAAAAAACATGATTTGGGTTGGTACTCAACGTGAAAATAGACTACTCAATCACATCATCATTGCTGCGAAGAGACATATTCACTTATGTAGTATTAATAATATACTCCCAAATCTAACTTTATACATACAAACTCTAAAAGAAGTATTCTCTGTAGAAAATCATATATCAACAAAACATAAAAAAATACAATTTCCATCATAAATGGAGCCTTCTCTCCCCAGTACTTAGATGACTCAAACTGTCTTGATTTGTACCTGACATTATGTATACATTATCCACTTAATGAAATATGCATGTTTATAAAAAATATTAATACAGTAATACCTCACCTGTACATCATGTAGCCATATTACTTTAAGCCGTATGTATCACGGCTTTGTATATATGTAACAGTTTAATCTTGGGAACCAATAAAAACAAAAAACAAACTTCCATGTTTGTGCACTTGTCAGTTGAGGAGGCCCCATATGTGCTTATCCACACCGAAATCAATTGATTTTCCAAGTTATCGATCTGTAAGAACAGTTCACTGAACCTTGATATTGCCCAGTGACGGGAACACGTATTGTACGTGATACTCGCCTTTGATCGTAGCACGTACTCATCTAAAATCAATGTATGGTCAAAATAATCATATAAACAAAAATAATTATGATATGGATGTAAAGGAGCTATATGTGAGTTAAAATCATAGGTATTGCGATACTTTTTCCCATGTGTATAGTAGCATTTCGATGAATAATTTACATACACTTCCATGACTATCTTAAGATATCAGACCATCTCTGATTAAACAAATAACCAACACCTTGGCAATCGATGCATAACAACGTTATAAAGTGGGTATGGACTGCTCACTTGTAAGTTTATTTCAGGAATGAGAATATGATCGACGTTCCTTAAGGCATCTCCAGATTAATTTTGAGTATCTAGCAGATGGTAATCAATGTTTCTGTGAATGTTGATACAGCGACCGTTTGCTAATATGTACGTTTAAAATGTGCTTGTTACTGTGTAAATACAGTGATGTCTCTATTGTGTTTTCTGTGTGCTCTAATTGCAGACTATTTGTCCTGTTTTATTTGTTCACGTTGCTGATCCCACGAGTGTTGTTGACCATTAAGTACTGGAGAAAACATCACAAAGTACATGTCAACGATGATCATTTCCACATTGCATTAGTTCTACCCGGAACAAATATTGCTAGTGGAAAGGAGTTGTGGAAATCATTTCTAGTAAATACCTGTCTGTGGGATAATTCCTCTGTAGAATAACAGCACAAAGAAACAAGTTCGCAACCGGAACAATTATTCTTTACGCGAACCACCTGCTCCCTAATATATATGGTGTTTAGGTGTAATGTCGCTCCCCATTGTTGCCATATTGCATAAATGTTTGTGTATATGAGTGTAAATATTTTCAGAAGTTTTCATGAGAGTATCGCTTGTTTTTTAGACCACAGACATCTTTATCTAATTGTCATGTTCCATATTTGCACATTGTAAGAGTACATTGTATTGTGATCTTTGGGAGTCGTAACGTTTAAGAGATCACTGTCAATATGTAACGTGCGGTAAAGCGGGAAACCACCTGAGTGTACCAATTTCCAAATTTGTAATGAATGCACCCGCAGCAACAGACGCTAACATGTAGTGTCCCACTAGTACCGTTAAAAGTAATGCATGTGAAATGACCAGGTCTATTTTTGCCAAATCTGCCATTTAATATAATGGTACCTAATGTACTGAAGAGTTCTGCTGGTTTCCTTCCATGCTGATGGTAGCTGTATTATCTTTGTCTCTGAAGGTCAAAGGTGTCACTTGGACAATCATCAGTTGTACATATATTCCTTATCTTACCTCACACATAAATGTCGTTTTCTGATTGGCTGAGCGCTCTTGATGTATTACAAGCGAGTAACATTTTCTTTTACTCGCTGGGAATGCCGAACTGTGGGAATTAATTTGGTACTTCGTGTCTTTATCTTTTAATTCTTTATCTTGAATAATCGAGTCACGTATGATGTACGGAAATTACCGATGTTTTGCGAATGCGAATCGATGGAAGGGAGATAGGCAAGTAAATACTCGCCAAGAAATTAATTAATCACCACCTGCTTTCGCATCAGATATATCTAGCAATATATTACCGTTGATACGTCATCCAAATGGACCAATACGTATAGAAACCGCGTCACTGCACGTAACCATATTTCTAACGGTTTCTTGTGGAAAATGACATTACCATATGGAAACATTAATACTGCATTATCGTCATCAATTTCTCTATCGTACAAAATGATTTCCACATGAATGCTATTTGGTTGGACGTCTAGTCAGGGTGAAGTAATTGACACAAAATACAATCACGGCAGTGGGTCGATTCACCTTGGTTGATGCATGTCACAGCCTAGTGTACAGACAGCCTTCATATAAACTAACGGGCAAGAGAAACGATACCAAGTCGAAATCACTGATATTACAAAACGACAAACCACCATTGTGAAAAAGGAAAGTGAATTTTAATAACAGGTGTATGGGCAACAGGAACTTGCATGTTATTGAAATTCCTTTTCCTTTTCACGTTTTGTAATATCAGTGATTTCGACTTGGTATCGTTTCTTTTGCCCGTTAGTTTAGCCGCAATATTATCTTATTAAACACGGAAACACCTATATATTATGTGTAGTATTGAATTGCATTGTAAGTACCAATTATACTTTGTATAACACATAAAGGAAACATTTATTCCCCATACTAATCGCTTACATATAGTTGTGTCATTCTGCATATATTTATCAAACCGCAGTCTACATCAGGTGTATTCTTTCATCATCTTCATCAACAATCTCTACTATGAGAGAGAAAGAGTTTATTCCGATAAAGGGAACACCGGCCCATTATACATGTAAATTAGTGCTACAATACGTTGACGAAGCGCCACGTCATTCACACACACAGGTGTTATGTTTAATGCAATGTTATAATGGACATTGATAGCATCAACATGATGGAAAATATTTGTTTCGTTTCTTCTGTGCTAAACAAATATATTTAGCAAGATTGTTTATAATAACATTGTTTTTTATGTGAATAATAAGATAACTTTGTTGCAAGATGGAAAAACATAATAAAATTCTTGCAAGAGATCTGATCGCAGGTCGTGATAAAATGGACGTTCAAGACAGAAGTGTAATTCAGATTCAATAGTAGGTCTAACACAGAATGAGACGTCTTCCACACTCAATCACTAGGTGTGTCATGGTTGGAGCAGCGGAACTTACACAATGCAATACAGTAAGCTTTTACTTTGACTACACTGAAATAATATTCTTCAGAAAGATGTACCTTAATTTGTCTGTACATTTCAAGTTTGGAATATTTACGAAGGTCTGAAACCCAATTTTGAACGTCAATGTCAATACATCTCTGCTTAAATTCAGTTAAAAACTGCTGCACGTTGACAACACGCTGGTCCATCCACACCTGTCAAAAACCATAAGTGAACAATAATGTTCTAACTTTTAGTGCCCAGCAGTCAAGGTTTTTGTCAGCTAAACTAATCTGATACTTATATACATTATACAAAATTACATTCTCCCTTTGACTTGTATATCTGATCCAATATTTGATTATCTTAATATATTTATTGACATTATATGAAAGAAAGTCCATTATACAAGATGTGTTTATGAATCACCATCAAACAGTTCCTCACACATGTCAAACTGGTGGTTATATTCCTCACCCTTAACATAAACCGTGGCAGTGAGCTTGCTAGTGAGTATAATACCTCCTACATCTTCCATCACAAAACATCATTATGACAACGGAAACAAACTTTACCAAATATCATTAAGTAATGTTAATGTTAATTATATAGGCGATAAAAGGAACGGCAATCATTTACGTATACTGTTCTGAATGAATGGCAGCTGCATGCTGAATCCATGCATGTATGAGTCCATTAGTAATTTCAAATGAGTCTAATCGTACCAAGAAAATCGTCTGTTCCATATTATAATGAACATTCACGAGTGAGTGAGTAAAAAATTAAAGTCGCATCGGCAGTATTTCAGCCATATCGTGACTGAATATTCACGAAGAACAATACAGATGTATACATGGTATTATATGACCGGAGTGAGTGAGTGAGTTTGGTTTTACGCCGCTTTTAGCAATATTCCAGCAATATCACGGCGGGGGACACCATAAATGTTATATGACCGGAGCTACCGGTGGGGCACACAGTAAGTTAAGACATTCATGTAGTTCTTTAAATGCTGATATTTTCCGTGTCAATTTATCTGAAAGTAAAGCTTGCCTTTGTGGTGCTCTGGTGTAAGATGCCGATCATTTCTTTTTAAAATGTCCAAAGTATGTTAGCTGCCGGTTTGATTTGATACAAAGCTTTGAAATCCTAAAAGTTAGTTTAGATATTTACAGCATTCTCTACGGCAGCCTCAATCTGCCACAAACTATAAATGAAAATATTTTTATAGTTTGGCATGAAATGCATGTGGACCCGTTTTTTTTGGAAATATCTCTCCATCCAATGACCCAATCGATCTCAAACTGTGCAAGTGGATGTTTTGTCAGACAACCTAATCACATTGTAAATCACCGATTTTATGCATTTGTATTAAAGAATCTGTCTATGTAACAAAATAAACAGCAGAACGCAGAATGCTTGCAGAGGGAGGGAGCCAATGACCTGTAACAGCGGCAGTGTTGGGTCATAAAGGTCAACGTTCGGCAATGTAGGTCAGCTATGCACGTGACGGGTATGAAGAGGTGTTCATTTCTAGCAAATAGCCGGCGAATGACATCTCTGATGACCCTGAGGTCAAAAGAATCTAACTTTGGATGCCTACCTTTTTGTACAAGGTTTTGTTTATTGGTTGTTGGTTTATTTTTCACAATTGTTAGCACGATGGTCTTTTTCATGCCAAGAACAAAAGTTGTACGTTTAATGTAATCCGACACCTTATAAATCGGTTTGCTATGTTTGCTCTCTTTTTAAAAAAAATTCAACACATTTCTAATTAAACGTTTAGCATCATCTGAATAAGCTTTCATGATGCCAGCTAGAAGTAGTCAATGTGAATGATCCAAACGGTCTATCACTGTGCAGTGCACAGGTAACTATCATGAACTGCACGTGCATTGACCTTTATGACCCAACACTGCCGCTGTTACAGGTCATTGGCTCCCTCCCTCTGCAAGCATTCTGCGTTCTGCTGTTTATTTTGTTGACAGTTACATAGACAGATTCTTTAATACAAATGCATAAAATCGGTGATTTACAATGTGATTAGGTTGTCTGACAAAACATCCACTTGCACAGTTGGAGATCGATTGGGTCATTGGATGAAGAGATATTTACGAAAAACCGGGTCCACATGCATTTCATGCCAAACTATAGTCAAGTCCATAAATTCATTGTACTTAGTACTTACTTCCATTAACGTGTAATATGTTTTGCCTCTTTTCATTGCCCATTACAAGAATTTTTGCCATGTAGTTGTCGGGAGCGGACTTGAATAAGTTGAATAACTTGTGCCCAGTTCACCAGTCATATAATGATTCATTCACACATGTTACCGAACAAACGTTATGGATACATTCCTGCTTGACAACGGTACAAGAATCTGTATTCCTGCTTGACAACGGTACAAGAATCTGTATTCCTGCTTGACAACGGTACAAGAATCTGTATTCCTGCTTGACAACGGTACAAGAATCTGTATTCCTGCTTGACAACGGTACAAGAATCTGTATCAAAACGTCGCACTCACGAAATAAAAGAAGTTGTTATCAATAAAGTTTGTTCAATATTGTACTTCCCAACTTCTAAAGTGCCTCTCAGAGGAGTCATACACACGTGCTTATGATAGAGTCAGAATCTCAGAATAGACCTTGCAGCTGAGAATTCCTGAGCGTTGTAAAAGATGAGTGAGTGAGTTAAGTTTTACACCGCACTAGCTGGTGTGGACCAGACAATCCAGTAATCAACAGTATGAGCATCGATCTACGCAACTGAGATACGATGACATGTGTCAACCAAGTCAGTGAGCCTGACCATCCAATCCTGTCAGTCGCCTCTTACGACAGGCATGGGTCACCGAAGATCAATTCTAACCCGGATCTTCACGGGTCTGTTGTAAAAGGAAACGATTCATTCTGGTATTACATTATGTAATATATTACATTTTTTTAATGAATTATATACTCTCCCAAAAAGGAAACGCATAGGTGACATTTATACATGAAATTTCAATTATTTTTTAAAATTAGGGCTTCATTGTTATAATTTCACCATTATTTTGCTGGTTTGTGTACATGGAATGAACGCACAGCGCAAAGAAACGCATCTTCAGAATGCACGTTTACGTTCGAAAGTGTAAATTGCGTGAAAATGCCGTGGCAAAAAAAGTGGTTCGCAATACGCACGTGCCGTTCTGAGGAATGTGAGCAGGGACATTGCATATATAAGGCCGTTTTGCTTTTAGACGATCATTGGCATTTTTGTAGTTAAATAACAAACAACAAACAAACTGCTGTTTAATTTGAAACATTGCCATTGTACATATGGAGGCTGGGGAGTCTCAATCTGCCGGTGCACGTCACCTCAATGTACCAGAATACCATCAGTCGTTTAGGGAACCGATATCAACAAACCAATTCTACCAAGATGGGTTTCGAAGTGGTAGACCTCGGATTACCACTGCAGAGCAGGACACCTCATACCGGGTACTTCATTTGCGGAATCGAACTGTCACAGAACTGCAACTGCAAGTGCAGTGCCTGGTTTGAGGAGGGAGTCGGCGCAAACCATTCGTAATCGTTTACGAGAAGTTGGACTTGAAGCCAGGAGACCCTGTTTTGGCACTGAGCTCCGACGACTACATCGATGTCGACTGGTCCAGTGGTGCAGTAACATTCGATTCTGGAATCTACAAAACTGGCGACGTGTATGGGTCGGTGACGAATCACGCGCTCTGCTTCAGTGCCGTGACGGAAGAGTACGTGTCTGACGAAGGCGAAATAAACGTTTCGCTCAGAATTGTGTCGCCAAGGTTGACCGATATGGTGGTGGGGGTGTCATGATGTTGGGAGCCATATCCTACACGCAGAAATCTAATTTTGTGCGCCTTCAGGGCAATTTAACTGATATTCAGTACAGAGACGAAATCTTAAGGATTCACATTGTTC